AAACATGATAAATGTCTTTCTTAGTAGCATTATAGGATAGATCAATTATTCGGGGTTGGCTATAAGCCTTGGTTTCCACTTGGACACCATTGTCAGGGTCAATCCTTTTCAGAATTAAATGTTCAGTGGGAAGATGGACAGAGTGGTAAACCTTATCTTCAGATGTAGTCCATGTTTTGAAAAAATCATCCAGTATGTTTATATTAACAAGAGAATGATTGGTCATAAAAAACCAAGAAACAAAAGGTATAACCATTTTGCGTTCTTGTAGAAAATCATAAAATTAAGTTTTAAAAAGCTGTAATTGATTTTGGTCAAAAGCTTTAAAATACCAATTTCTGAATTCTTTATATTGATCCTGTTGAAATTCAGTATTAATGGCAATTCTATCTGGGACAAAATCCATTAAAACTAATGAAATATACTATTAGATATTCTTTACTTCTTCAATTTTTTTTTTTTTTTTTTTTTTTTTTTTTTTTTTTTCAATTCTAAAGAGGAAGAAATAAAAGGGAGAAGCAAAAAGATAAAAGTTATGGAGACATTTGTATACTACACAAAAATTTAGGGAAAATTACATATAAATGGAGTCAAAGTTTCATATTTACTTAGAGACTGAGTCAAAGTTCCATATTTCTCTAAAATGGATTGCTGAGGTGGCACATGGTTTTTTATTGTTTAAAAAATTGTGGTGTCTAAAATGCCCTTCCCTAATAAAAAAATAGTACATTCAGTTCAAAAAAGTAGTACCTTCAATTCAAAAAAGTAGTACCTTCGGAGAAAAAGTAGTACCTTCGCGAGTGTTTAAAAAACATGGTACCTGGACGCCAAAAAGTAGTACCTTCAGTTCAAAAAAGTAGTACATTCGAAGAAAAAGTAGTACCTTCGCGGAAGGGTATTTTAGGCATCACAATTTCTAAACAGTAAAAAACCATGTGCCACCTCAGTAATCCATTTTAGAGAAATATAGAACTTTGACTCAGCCTCTAAGTAAATATAGAACTTTAACTCCATTTATATGTAATTTTCCCAAAAATTTATAGGTATAAACAAAATTATTAAAAATTTCAGTCGGTCCCTCCACTTCCAATTACATAAGTCGGTCCCTGCCCAAGAGGTCATCAAACCGTTCCACATCCAAGTCTCAACCATTAATTTTTTGTTTTTGGTAATTAAAACCATGACAAATTGATTTTTTTCTGAATACCTTACCAAAAAAATTATAATAAATAAATAAATAGAGAAACTATAAAAGAGTTATCTCAACTTTCATAATTTCATAGAAACCTGTTTAGTTTATCACTCAAAAAACAATTTTTACGTTAAAAAAAAAAAAAAATAGTTTTCAAAAATTTTGAAAATCAAAAAAGATATTTTAACTGAAATTTTCTTTTTAAAAAAAAAAATCAAAAAATTAAACCAAGCAATCACTTATTTTGGGGGAAAAAAACACCTTTATCATAATAGTGATAGAAAATTGAAATTTACGAGTGAAATTTAGCTCTATAATATCCTTCTTTATTGCAATACATGTTTCACTTTTAAATTATCTGGTGATTAATCGCCATCTATTTTAAAAATTTAAATTATTAAAAAAGTGTAACTTTAATATATAAATCTGATATAATTTCATCTTGTGCAAATTAGCCCAAATACAAATTCAATACGTAAAACAGTTAATTTAGTTAGCGCATTATTGATGTATAAATTACAAGAGGCAGATATCAACTGAAAAATTATGGTTTGTGTTTTAGAGATTTTGAGCTCATCCACCCAACAATGTTTTATATAGGATACCAACAAACCATAGCCTAACAACCAAAAATATAACTGTAACAAGAAGTTATTTCTAATCCTTGTATTAAAAATAAATAAAAATAGCCGTAGTCGTCACACAAGCACAACTGTAACTAATAAATCCAAAGTTTATTTCTAATCCTTGTAGTTTATACAATTTATGAATAAATTATAGGTCCAAAGAACGTAGGAACTACATAGTGAGGTTTCAACTGTCTAACTCATAAAATCAAACACTTGCTATTTAACAATATTATTTAGTTATGATGGCAATAATTGTACACCTCTGCCACACCACCGATCCCAACTGCTCAACACCTCCCCCAACCATAACCAATAGTGTGGATACTTCGTGGATGTGATTGAAGGTGGTTAGTTCTACGGATGCAGATTTGTTGTAACTTGGGCTTTGGGCCTAGCCAGGTTTAGGACTTCCTTGTAGGTTTCTTTGGGCCACTATAATGGACATTTTGTTTCTTGTATCCTTGCCCAGTAATGTATGGGCTGAGGGATCTCCTTTGTAATTTCTCTTCTTTTTTTAATGAATTACTTAATTACCAAAAAAAAATTGTACAGTAAAACTCGGAGAAATAAGTTGAATTAAGATCATTTGGAAAAAACCGATCAACCCAACAGGAAAAACAAAATAACTAGACAAGCCCACATGGATGGGCAAGTGAAAAAGGGGTGTTTTTTTTGGAACAAATTGTAAATACCAGGGCGCTGGTATTTGTGGTTTGCGGAAGTTTGTAAGCCATCTTAAAATTCGAAGGAATCGGTTGATTTTTTATTACCACAAAATAAAATAAAAATAATAATAAATAAACAAAACCAACCTACTACCAGACAGCTTTAAATGGGACAGACTTAGTGAGCCCAAACCAAAAAGATGTTACAATGCCCAATGCCAATTCTTACAGCCAATTGAGATTTATAAGAAAAGTTCCAGTGCAATCGGTTTGGATTGACTTGTCAAGTTTATTTATGGTGAAGTGCAATCAGTTTCTAGGATATCCTCATTTTATCTCAATTTTGTCTAATCTGATTCCATCGCACTAATTACATTTATTTCTTATATATATATATATTAGGGATAAATAATCCTTTGTCTTGAATTATCGTCATTATACTTTCATTTTTAATATTTTATTCTATTTACATTTCATATATTAAATTTAGCTCTTCTGATTCTAAACCTTTCAATTTATGTTATGTTCACATTGAATTTGGAATTAGAGAAAAGATTTCATACTCCTAAATGCAACATCATATATATTTCCATATATTTATTTATTTTTGCTAGAATTTCCTTATAAATCTAAAAGAACTATGTTACTAGTAAACAATATGAACCAAGGAATATCTTGTATAAAATTTAACTAATATAAGGTTTGGTTTTCTCTCTTTGTATGGAAGAGGTCTGGGATATATTTGTTGCAAACATTTGTACTATTCTTGTTCTGTTTTTGGTCATATAAAAAATTTTGTTGCTCTTCTACTGGAATTAATATACAGTATATATTCAAAACAGAAACTTGTTTGACCAAAAGTGCAGGAGATCCTGAAATTACACCATTTTCATTCCTGTCCTTCAACAATCATTCTAAGCTTCACTGAATGTTGATGTAACATCCCGAAACGGGGCAACGAAAATTGATGGTTTGGAAATCCTCAAACCACAACAACAACAATGTATCATGTAGCAATCAACCCCAAAATTCATACAAGAGACTCTCCATTCATGGTTAGAAGTGCAAAATTACTATCCGAACACAAAACAAGCAGTCCACGAGTGCAGCCCCCTATTGGAAAGAATTCTGTGCAGCAGTTGATCAAAAATTCGTGGAAAATTCAATTTTAAATGAAATGGGGCAAACTAAAATTCTTTGGAAACTAGACCCAAAATGCAACAAGGCTAAGCAACTCATGGAAGCTGAATGTTTCTCAATTAGATCATATTTTAGAAGTAAAACAGATTATCCAAAATGAGCTGAAAATAAACTTTTCGATAACCTTCATTCATTTTTAAAAAAATATAGGGATTTGATAAAATCCAAGGATTTTATTTTGAGAAAGAAGACTCTAAGGGATAAAAATATTGAAGGTTTGATAATTCTCAGATGTCAAAATGTTCATCAAATAAATTATCCAAAATCTGATTCCTAGTAGCGATAAAAGTCGGACAATAGGCATTGTCAGATTTTTATAAAATAATAATCCATCCAAAGAGTATGAAATTTCGTAGGAGGACTCTAGACACAGAGGAGAACATGTGGTAAAAAAAAAAAAAAAATTAAAAGCATTTGGAAAACCACAGCCCCCAGGTAAAACTAATGAATCTCTGTACAAATAAAAAAAACTCATGTTTGTTCCAAGTTCCAAAATAAGGCTACAACTCATATAAAACCTGATCAAAAGTAACACAAATAATCTAGAACAATTCCCATTGCACTAATCTAATAAACACTAAACAAAAAAAAGATCACAAACAACCTCAATATCGCATAGTGATTATTTAAAATTTCGTACAAAATCCAATAGGACAGCAGGCTCAATTAGAAGAAAAATCGGAGCAACAGTTCATAAGCAATTCGAAAAAAATTCATTTTTTTTTTTATCGAAATAGATCAAACGAAAATGATTTGAAAATTAGACTCAAAGAGTAATATGACCCTGCAATACCCAGCAACTTAAGTTTTGCCAATAAAAATCAGTTTTTTTTAAGGTAAATAGTAGTCCAAGAATGAGCTGTAAATAAAGTTTTTGTAAAACTTTGTCAATTTGAAAAAAAAAATATCCGGAGCTAAGAAAATTCCAATAAATTTGTTTTTAGAAATTAGACTTACGAAAGTATAAAATTGAAATTTTTGATAAAGATCTGGTGTCAAGAAGTTGGTCAAATATATTATTGAAAAATCTGATTTCTAGAAGGTATAAAATCCGGACAGCAGGTGCTGTCAAATTTTTTAGAAAAAAATATGTTTATCCAAAAATTCCAAAATTAATTAGACAAGTTCTAGACATGTAGAAAAACCTGTGATAAAAGTTTCGTAGCAATTGGAGCACTACAGCTCCTTGGAGAAAATATTTATTTCAAGAAATATTAAAAGAAGATAATTCCTGCCCCAAAATAGTCCCTTTTCTTTCTTAATCATCAAACCAACCACTCAGACTTACTGGAAACTTAACAACAAGTCTCTAAATTTCCAAAGTTTCCTTTATATACTATCATAATCACGCGTTTACATCATTTTCTCAAATTACAATGGAATCAAGTATTTTATCAAACACATTATCTACATGAACAGGATGGTCACAAATAAGCAGTTTCAGCAACTCCACTTCCTTCAATTAATCACGGCACCTGAAAAATAATAGGGTGAGACACAAGGTCCCAGTAAGAAATACACTAAAAGGTGTTGCTAAGGGATCTCAGCACAGAAACAACCATGAAAAGCATGCTATAAAAATTTGAGGAAATTAAATCCATAACAAAACACACATACATGAATCAATTTTTCCTTTTTTATTTTTATTTTTATTTTTTATTTTTTAAAACAGATCAATTGCAAGGAACTCAACAAAGATACCTAGAATCAAGAAGATTTTTCGAGAAAGAGAATCACATACTATTTCCTATAATAACAATATTTCCATGGTCACAAGGGTTGAAATATAGAGCCAAATCACACGAAGCAACAAGTGTTAGAGCAAACCTACCTTAACTGAGCACAAGAGAGAAATGGTGGTGAAATATGGCGGCCATGAAAGTACGTAATCCAGCCCTCTTTGCCCCTTTTTCTTTTTTTTTTTTTCATAGCTTCACCAAATTCATACTCTAAACCTCTTAAAATTGAGCTTTTAGCATGGAAGAATATATGTGTAGATAGATATAGAGAGAGAAAGATAAAATGTAGAGAGAGAAGGGAATTGGCTAAAAATGGAAAAGGAAGAAGACTAGGCTTGGTCTTCATTTTGCTTTGTGGTTCTAATGGTGCCAAATGTCACCATTATGTGGTTATTAGCTTTTTGGCAAGTTACCCATTTGCCCTTTCCCTTCCCAAGCAATGTCATCCAAGTCCCTAAAATATCTACCTCAATGCATAGATATATGTATATGTATATGCATGAGAAAAGTCCATTATACCCTTCACTCAAAATGGCAAAATCGGGAGAGGTTCCCGACTTTCGAAAATCCTAAAATCAATCATGTCGCCTCCAATTGTCTTAAGGTAATTAAAAACACATCTCTAAAATGCCCGGCTTAAGAAAATGATCAAAATGACCCTCGGAACCCGTGTGACCCGCAAAACGAGGCAATGGCTGAAATAATCCAAAAAAATCAAATAAATTCCAGAAACAAGAAAATTAGAAAATTTGGTAACATTAGAATCTCCCCAACTTTAAAAGATTTCGTCCCTGAAATCAACCCACCTAATAGGAGAAAGACGAAAGGATGCAAAAACGGCGTACGTCTCCGAGTACCCCACGCAACACGCTATACCTCAAAACCCCAATCCAAAGGATCTCACATCCTGCGTTACTCGCAACCCTGTGCTAGTGAACTAACGTAACAATGACCTAACAGTAAAAACGGTCACACATAATCTCATCCCCCACCACAACTAACTGAACGAGAAAGGCACCACAGTGCCGAATAAAACTCTCTACCGTCACCTACAAGCACGCAAGGCACAAGCCCCCAACCAAACTCTATGACTCCACCGAATCTTAACCACAGAGAACCATAAGGATAGTCATCCTTCTAACCAGAACATACCGCTAATCGATACCAACTCCGCAAATGACAGCTTCAGTCAACCCACATGACAATACGCATCACGAAAGAATCCCTCAATCCAAGTCACCACGACACTCAACCATCTACTTCCACACTCAACCCAGGTTAAAACCAGTCCAATACATAAAATCGCACTAATGTGGTCCGCACGAGACATCTCACTATAAAGCGGTCGGATCCCATACACGGTAGGTCCAACCAGTAGCGCCTCACATAATCCGCGCCAAATGCCCTAAGGCCCACAAAATAGTGGTTATATACAAAACCGTTCAACGAGCTAATATACGAGCTCCACTCGCTATCCCAAAAATACCCTTAAAACTATTTCTGATGACTACTGCCTTTAATAGTTACATCATAGCTGAACACCCACGATTGTAATAAAAAAAACCATCCGACCTGTCAAATGTACCATCAGGTACCCGGGAAAACAACCCATCAGCATAGCTCAAGGATTAACTGATCCAACAACTGAAACTTCTTGGACACGTAGTCCCGTACCAAGGACACCACCATCCATGACAAGTCACCTGAACATGTACAAATAATACAATTAATCCTAAGCAAGACTCACTCTAAAATGGGATCATACATCCAAACGTACATAACACAAAACACCATACTCTGACTGTCACTAATCACACTAAAATCAATGATCGTTGACATTTGACTCGACATTATGTTAAAGAAAGACTGATTTAGAGAAATGGTTGGCTAGGCCATTCCCATCGTCGATCCGACCTTAACACCAACATCATTCTTGTCTTCAGGTCTAATCCTCAAGTATACACACATATCAATCCTTGTGCCTAAATCTAGACACACGGTTTACGACACACGGCCTGACCATTCCCAATACACGAGTGGCATTACAGCTACTAGGTGTGATACCCCTCGGATCCGAGACACGGATTGATCAGGCCCAAGTCCAAACTCGAGGGAAATATCAAACAATTAATATTTAAATGAACACAGATTACAAAATAAAATCAGAAATAAAAAATTAATAGTTGGAAGAAATCTAAAAGAGAATCCTTAAAATTAAATACTTAAAATCCAAAACCTCCAATAATTAAACAACTCAGGAATCCTTCCATTGGACCCCTAATACAAAAATTCAAACTGAAGTCTAAATAATTAAAAGAACATCCAAAACGAAACCATGGAGAGAAGTCCTATGTCGTCGGAAGAGTGAGTAGTAGTCTCGGCTCAGCATGATCAAGTCTAAGTCTGGAACTGACGAGTACCTAAAAAATAGAAGTGGGTCAGGCCCACGAACAAGTTCTATCCTACTACAATCCAAACAGAGACTCGATACGCATATACATCCTAAGTAATTCAATAATAGCTAATAGTCCGTACATAAATATATCCATATTACAGGACTCTCACAGGACTATGGAGGGGGTCTCAACCTGAATAGAAGATAACATGTGAAAACGCACCCAAAGGTGGGCATGATTACCTAAACCTAACAGGGTATACCTCAACCTCTCATATCCAGCTACGCATCCTACTACATATACGCTCCTAACCGACGACTCTGAGGCTCAAGCTCAGATCGCAGTACCATAACATATATTTAAAGTCTGTCCTATCTATCCAAAGAAAGTACAGTTAGTCATTCAGCTTGTGCAGCTTCTTTGACTTAAATATAAGTAGGATTTTATTTATATAATCCGTTCCCTTATTCCAATATAGGTAGGACTTAGCATTTCAAGCTAATCCAAACCTAGTACGCCACCGTCCCATACCGGTGCATACATTCCATACCATCCAGCAGTTGATAATATTAATAACAAAAGTAAATACCAACTAGTCCATAACAAATACAGCAAGAATCCATTATAAGTATAACAAGAATATGTATATGACATGCTTATTCTGCACTACCGATACATGATTCTCCAATAAGTTTAAAATATAGAGAATAGGTATAATCCATTCTGTGATCCACTATGAGCATAATAACATCAATATCAGAATTAAAATGCTTGCTTAAAACTATTCCACGATATCTAGAAAGTTGGTAAGATACAACACTGTATAGTTAGCAACTAAGTTCCCATTACATAACAGAGAATTATCATAATTGGCATGCTTATTTTTGTAACACTACGACATGATTTAAACCAAAAATTCCCTATGTCCATTGCTAATTTCAAAATTGAGCAAATTGAATCATTCGCATCCAAGCCAACACTCAAACTTTCTGTAGAGTTTCCTACTGTTTTCTATATTAGCTTCCTATGATACATTATGAACTGAGACTTTAATAAGGGTTTAGACATTACTGAATACCCTTAAATCAACTCTTATTTCAACCTGGGACTTTAAAAATCCAACTACGATAGTCCAGGTCTCGCAGAGAACCAAAAAACTGGAAAAACTACGAAGGAGCCGGCTCCCTCAAAGAGAGAGCCGCCTCCAAACAAGATGGAGCCGCCTCCAAACAAGATGGAGCCATCTCCAAACCCTTTAGAGCAGGCTCCATGCTTCCATGGAGCCGCCTCTTTGTGAAAGAGAGCCTGCTCTCTTCAACTAAGAGCCGGCTCTCACCTGTTTCGTCTCCGGTGTATTCCATTGATTCCGTCCCTCTCTGTTATAGTCTCTAATTGTTTTAATTAGGTTCAGACTTAACCAGAAAAGATTTATCCAACTCCTTTATGCATTGATTAACAACAAATTTAAAACAGGTAGGTACACAGTCGAACACAAAGACTGGCAATTTACAAATCGTTTCAACACATACTGCTTTAATAAATTTTAAACATGCATAATCAATTAATTCTTATGCTTAATGATTTCCTGGAACTGCTTAGGCATGCAAAGAACACGAGTAAAAGGGAAAGAGTTGAGGTTAGAACTTGCCTATAAAACTTTGGTTCAAAGTCTTAGCACCGTCTTCCTAAGGTTTCCGGCAATCCTTACTTTAATCCTCCTCTGTTCTCTCTCTGCCTCCTCAGTCGTGAGTAGGGTTCTAAAACCCTTGCAGAATATTATACGTATATTTATAGGCAACACTAGTCCTAGGTCCAATTAAACCCTAACCTGACTTACTCGACCGATTGAGGAAAACCTAATTAAAAACTCTGTGTGCTACCAATTAATCAAGCCTCGTGAAAAAAATATATATATATTTAAATTCAATTAAAACAATGCATCACGTAATGTAATTTAAGTACACAGTTAACTAGTTATTCAATTTAATACAACACAATGAATTAAGTAATTCCATTTAATAACCTAATTAATCAAATAATGAAATAAAGCAAAATACTGCAATTAAATTAATTAATTAACAACAAATAAAATAGCCAAACAAATAACCAAATAACCATATAAGAATGCAAAATTACAATAAAACCTCAAAATAAACTATCGAGACTATTCTTTAAAGTTAGGGGTATTACACTAAGTACCACTGCTAACACCAAGAGTTTAAGAAAACATACGTAACGGTCAACAAGTCGCGTCTCACGCCTTATCGATCATAACCTCTCTCAGCGAATCCCACAAAACCAAGGACTTCACCTCTCGTCGTGGAGGTAAGTTAAACGATCCAGATCAAATCCTCACTCGGGATCCCTAACAAAATATGGATAAAACCCTTATGTCATCAATCCATCATTAAAACCATTACATAAGAGCTCAGTTGCTCACAAAATACACATCATAATCTAATAAAACTGTTTTGGAATACTAATATAGTCTTACAAATACATCATTACCTTAATACATAACAGTCACAACTGGTACATCATTACAACTTAAAATTCATACAAAACCTTTCGATCTATATACTGTCCCAAGGGCTTACACTAAGCATCATCAACATCATTTAGTCCGGAACTACACTACGGGATATGTCCACCATCCTGGCACAGATGAACCAGACACTACACAAAGTGTACAGGCCTCTGCCCAAACTCACGGGTAGCCCCCGTTACCAGAACAACATTGTGTTGCATCTTCTATCACACCCAATCTCACAAGCATCCCCCGCTACAAAACTCACAGGTATCCCTTGTTACAACAGTCACAGGTAGCCCTCATTACTACACCAGACTCATAGGTATCCCCCGTTACGACACAACACGACTCACAGGTAGCCCATGTTACAACACGACATGACGCATTGGCAACAATATGACAAGACGTACATATGACAA